ACCACCCACCTTGTGACGCATGTAACTACTGAATATGCCTGTCTTCAGCATACCTATAAATGTCCCGAGATAATAAAGACTCCCTCTCACTTCTCCCAGTTCTCCAACGCGCTCGGTTCCGCGTGGTCCCTCAAGAGGCGCTGAGGTGACCATGCTACCATACAAGGTGTCTGACTCCTTTATTGCATTCTCTCTCCTATCTTTCTTATCCCCTATGACTTTACTATCATCCTTCTATATCATCACTGTACATTTGCGCCTTCTGGTTTCCTCTGACACCCCTCAGTTTTCTCACCTGTCAAGTGAGGCTGATTTATAAGTAAAAGTGCCTGGCACATAGGATCGGCTGCATGCCCACTTTCTGTTACCACTGCCCACGGCCTGGGCTGGCCTCGGGCTGTGGAGTCCTGTGCCAGGTGGGGAGGGACAGCCAGGTGAGAAGGGGCTGCTGTCACCCCAGGGGAGGGGCTGGGTGCCAGAGGAGAGTAGACTCCTGTAAAAGTCCCAAGGATTCATGCCAGGTGTCTTGACTTGCCCTCCCCCACGCTTCTCCCGTGACCTTTGGCCCCCGTGAAGGGACGCACCTTCTGGTCACACCTAGGGCACCAGTTGAGACACAGAAAGAAGCACATCCCATGGGACCCGCTCTCAGCCAGACCAGTGTGGGTCACCACCTTTGCTCCCACACTGAGGATGGTGTCCTGGGCCCAGCACTTCCCAGAAGCCCCAGGGCACTGCTCCTGATGACACTGGAACACCCCCCACCTCAACCCCCCTCTGCTCCCATTTGAATCCAGCACCCTGCCTCTGGACGCCTTTAAAGAGGATCTGGGCTGCCTCCCATCTTTCCTGAGGGTTCTCTGCAGGAGGTGGGGTAGGGGTGGCAGGGGATTGGGAGACGGAGGGGTGGGGGGCAGCCACCTCGCTCTCAGGCTTCCCCGCTCACCTTTGTCTGTTTCTCCCTGGGGTGGGCAGACACGTGACCACACGTGAGGATACCGGTGTACACACAGGAGCCTGTGCATGTGCACACATGTGAGCAGGCATGTTAACGAGTGTCTGAGCATATGCACACGCATGAGAACATGCATGTGAATAAGCATGAGCTCAAACGTGGGTGAACGTGTGAATATGGATGTGAGGCACACAGGTGCGTGTGTGAGTAGGCATGTGTGGGGGCATGTGGGCTTGCATAAGCAGGCGTGTCCACGAATGGGCCAACATGCATGTGGCTATGGTGGGGCAAGCACGTTGCCAGGAGGCTATGGCAGCCAGCCATCTCCTGGGCACTGACCGGAAAGAACGTCCTGCGACTCCCTGGAGGCTTGTGCTGCATAGTTCCTGCGACCCAGACCCAGGGTACCTGACTGCAGGTAAGGGGAGGCCGAGGAGCCCTGGGCTCCCAGCCTGGAGATGATGCACTCAAGCCCCCACGCAAGCTTAAGGAAGTCTCCGGTGCAGAGCGCTTTTTGACATCGCCGATCCCCGCGCCCGGCCAGACGCGCTGCAGGGCGGCTCGCTCTCCATCTCTGCACAGAAGGACGATGACCAGGGCTCGCCGGGAATCACTTACTTTAATCGCTCAGATCCCCGAGGGCACGGGGAAGGGGAGGGGGGAGAGGAGCCGCTGGAACGGAACGGGGTTCCATGTACACGAGGAGGAGGGCCTGGGGCAGCGCCCGCCCGCCCGGAGCTGGCCGAGGCTGAAGGAAACCGACGCAGGGGGCTGGAGCCCCGCGGGCGGCGAAGCGGGGTCTGGGGAGGGGTCTGGGCGG